CCCCTCCAGTCCGATTCTTTCCGTTAAAAAAAAAAAAAAAAATTGGTGAGCAGAGGTCTGGAATATATCGAAATATCCGAGGAAAATACGTAGATAGGAAGAATAGCGACTCACTATAAAAAAAAGCAAAAGCTAAATAAATATGCGACCGCACATGTGACACGACCTACGGCGCTGCATCGAGCGAAGATTCGGGGCCTCTTGCCCCGAATTGGGCCGCATGCCACGAATTACCAACATAATCGCTGTCAAAAGAGAACGAGACCCGCTTTACACCCGTGTTTTTCGCCGAAGTTTATTCACGGCGGGATCGCCTTTATTCCGGAAGAAATTCAGACCGCGCCAGCAGAAAAGAACCAAGTCGACCGACAGGTTTATATAAGCAGCCGATCGTATGGAGAAATCAACGACCGATACGTCGTTCCTGAAAAAAGCCGAGAACTCGGCTACTTTTTGTCCATATGTCGGCGCATGTCCGCGGTTCCGATACAAAGAAAAAAGGGGAAGAAGAAGAAGAAAGGAGAGACGGGCGACGAGACTGTATCGGCTCGTAAGAGCGCATTCTTCTCCGAAGTGGGTCAGAGCAGGATTAATTTGAGAAAATAAAAAACTGAAATTAAAAATACATCTTCATCTAGAGAGTTGTCGCTTTGAGTGAGAAACCTGAATTTTGTCCGGAAAGTTGGATGCGATCAAGAGAACGTTAAAACGACGATACTACATCTAAACGCCGGGCGCGAGAAAGTGAGAACGAAAAAGACATCGTCACTGGAAGTTCTCTGACCTACTAAAGGAGGGTATCGATAAGAGTCGTTAATGAGCCCACCCTAAATTTCTTCGATTTTACGCGTTTGGCACATTTAGGGTCAATATTTAACAAACAACATCATGATTTGGTAGTTTCTGGTCTTTTTCGGGTCTAATTCTGGCTTAAACACGAATCTTAGGGGAGATTTTTGCGACAAACGCGGGTTTAGCGGGTTTGCAGTCGAGTGGCAAAAAATCCGCAATTTTCGCTAAAATCTGCCATCAGGCCCCTTGAGAAAGACTCAAAAAGATATCGGAAATGATCGAATCACGTTGCATTCCGTAAATTATACCTTCAATGAGCAGAACATCGTAGAATTTGAGGAGAATCAGCCCGGATGGACCCAAATACGGCTCATCGATCCTGGCAACATCTGCATTCCAATAAATTTGGCAGGTCGGACCGAGATTTTCGGTTCCTCTTACCGAGATATGTTAAAAATGCCGAAAGTTCAGCGCAGTGTATCGAGTTTTTGGCTGCCAGAACCAAGATTCTTTGTCTCATATTCTAAGCTTTTAGGGGTGTGAATATTTTTGAATTTTTAACAGTATGTAACGCTTCGAAATTTCAGAAAATTGTTAATTTTTGAATTAATGAAAAACTGAGCGATTTTTCTTTCTTGGGGGGGGGGGGGATTTCTTCTCTCTATTGAGCGATGTTCTACTTAAAATCATGTAGCATCCGATTGGATTAAGGACCGAGTTACTTTGACTTAAGTGATCGATGACTTTTTTACAGAAAAAAGGAGGCGATTCTCGGTTGGAAAAATTACTTTCCTTCGATTTGGCAACAATGTCCAGGAAGGAAATTCTTCTGGGCCCAGAGGTACGTCGTCGCGTCGTGACCAGACGCCGACGACATTTTTTGAAATTTGACACCGACGATTTATTTTATTGAACTCGGCATCGGGCGCCTCAAGGAGGGAAGGGGGGGGGGGAGAACGAGGAAGAATTAATCGAACGACATAATAATTGGCTGTTTTCGGTTCTGAGTCATGACCTATCCTTGATGGAAGACCGAAAGGCTCGGACCCATAAAAATAAACCTCAGCTGATCCCCATCTACATGGGTGGGAATCTTCCAAGTCATTCAGCAAATAAGAAGCGCCATTTCAGCGAATGTTGGCCAACGTTGTTGGAAAAATCAGCTTGAAGGGGGCAAAATTTCAAATGATTCCTCAAACACTGACCCAAATAACTGCCTCTTCCAAAAAAAACCGCAAAATCTTGAACTCATT